CACACTGACCACTGCGTCTCCTCCAGTTGCTGAGCCTGGTAGGGTAGCTGCGTCGGGTCAGGTGTTTGCTGCAGCGTCCAGGTCTGGTCCTGAGTCTGCCCCCTGTTCGTGTCGTCTCCTGTCTCACGAGACTCTCCTCTGGCACCACCGCCTTGGTCACCCCTCTCTGCTTCGGCTCAGAGGCATGGCCTCTCGTCTTCTTGTTTCTGGTCTCCCCCGGTCCCTCCCTCCCCTTCCTCAGGGCCCTGGCCCTACCTGTGTCCCCTGTGTCGAGGGGCGCCAGCGTGCTGCCCCTCACTCCTCCCAGTTTCCTCCGACAGAGGCCCCGTTGCAGACGCTTCACATGGACGTGTGGGGCCCAGCCCGCGTCAATGGACAGGGTCACGAGCGCTACTTCCTGCTAGTTGTTGACGACTACTCGCGTTACACCGCAGGCTTCCCCTTGCGCAGCAAGAGTGATGTCATTGAGGTGCTGATCGACTGGATCTGCGCAGCTCGTCTCCAGCTCAGGCAGAGCTTTGGCTCGGACTTTCCTGTTCTGCGTCTGCACTCGGACAGAGGCGGAGAGTTTTCCTCTGGCCTTCTGAGAGCCTACTGTCGCGCATGGGGCATCCGTCAGACCTTCACGCTTCCGGACTCTCCGCAGCAAAATGGGATTGCTGAGCGCCGCATTGGCATGGTCACATCAGAAAAACCCTATGCCAAGTTTGGACGAATTTTGATTGGGATTGTCTTCGCTTAAAAAATTCGGGACCGAATTTCGACCGACGGTTTGAGTCATTTGATAGGAGCTCCGACACACATCTCGCGACAAGGCTTGGCTCGGGTCAAGTTCCAATTTGGCACGCGTGCTGTTCCGGCTGACATTCGCGCGCAATCCGTTTAGGGTCAGTTTTGTGACCAAATCATTAAAAAATGGATTTTGTATTTGTTTTATTCTGGGAATTGAGGATTTCAGAATTACATTCAATATTCGCGGGTTAGGACGTGTGAGATTTTTTATGGAGTTCGTAATCAGGGTCGAACTTTTGGTGGTTACCATTTTCGCCAATGTTCGCTAACCGCCTCGCCGAAGTCGAAACAAATTCCCCGTTTGGGAAGTGCGAACCCTCATTTGTGAACTTGATACAGAAAAATTCGTGAACTTGCACAAACACAAAGATCCAAACGTGTGTGGTGTCAGGCACGTACGAGGTTTCAGCGAACCTCGCGACTCATTCGTGCGCCAATGAGATCACAACCAAGACACAGCGCATTGCTGAACTCGCTATGGCCACCACGTGGCACAATTCATGCCACGATGGCTAGTCGTGCGTCACTTTTTTTAGCAGCGCTCCGGTGACGTGTCGCGCTGTGGTGTGCTTGAAACCGGGTAACCTACAGTCTCCAATTGCGGCTCGGTTCCCCCTCTGTAAATTCGAACTTGCAAATTCGCATCTTGGTGTGTGATTGTGAGTATACAAGAATGCTCACACGCGGTGCGAACCTTGCCACATCTCAAAATCGATTCAAGTTCAGGTTATAAAACCCTGCTTAAATCGAGTAAAAAACGTGAACTTTCATAAACCCTTGTTTCACACACGTCCTTACAGCTTCCATCATTCAGCATTCTAACAACCAGCAGTTTTAACACCCAGTCAAATAGTCTACGCAATGGTGGGCCCTGCAAGCCCCCGGTAGGCAAGAACAACATCTCCAAGGTCGCCATCGTCGATGAGGAACTTGTTCTGGAAGACGAACGCACCCTGAGCCGGATCGTGTGGGATGCGTTGCTCCACAACGGCAAAGTGTATCATCTGTTTGACCTTGTCACACCACTCGAAGTAGTCCGGCCTGTTTTGTTCCGGCTGGGCCGGAATACGCTTGCGGCGCTTGTCCTGCAGAAGGGGCCACTCGATCTGCAATGTGGTGTAGGGTTGGGTGGATGGTGTATGAGGGGAGGTTATGGGCATATGATCCAACTGAAAGCAGTGAAGACGTCACACCCTACGTAACCGCAAACGCCTAAGCGACCTGGGTTTTAGATGAAGTACAGGCGAGGGGTTTAGGGGATGAGGCATGGGTGTAGTGTCACTTATCTACCTCCTTACCGAAAACAGGCCCCATGCCACCATGCGGCTCTTGAACTTGGTGAACACGACCCCGCTCCTCTTGAAGGAGAGCTTGAACGCATAAGCAAACAAGGGGTTGCTGAAGGGCGTTCCGGTGGCCTTGTCAAAGTGCCAGTTGAGGGTCCACTGTTCTGCATTTTGGGAGGGAGCGTATGGGTTGGAAAGGGGGTGCAGATAGATCAAGTGGGGGGGTGAGAGACAGGGTCAGAGTACCACGGCACGGTTATTTGTAGCTGCTGACTGGCTTATGGGCAGGGGGATATGGTGTGTTTGAGACGCACATACCATCTCTGTACTCGGCCAGGAGCTGCTCGTCGTTGAACCACTTCTCCGGGCGTAGCTCAGTGGGCAGGCTATCCACCGCATTGGCGTAATCGGAGAGACCCATGCCGGCGTACGTTGCTGGCCTGAGGGTGCTGTTGATTGTTGACCTGGTTGATGACATCTGGTGGTTGAAGACACCCATGGTTGACTTGTCGTTGTGCAACCACAGCAGCTTCATTGACTCTAGCCCTTCGTGAGACAAGTGGACAGCGAACGCCTCGAACACTTCCTCCGGTGCAGGGTAATACTGAATCTTCTCCGGGGGGTTCAGAAACAGGAGCTGAGAGCACACTAAGTAGGCTTTGATCTGCGCATGGGTGTGGATTTACAACACGACACGGGGAGAGAGAAACCATCAATTATGACTCTGGCCGCGTGACCAACCCTCCCGCGTCCGCCACGTCAGGGAGGAACCAGCCCCACTTGCCACGTCACATCCACCCACCCCATGCCACGTCACCCCCCACCCACCCTCCTGCATCCGCCAAATCCACCAACGACCCTCCCCACGTGACACGTCACACCCACCCTCCCCATGCCACGTCACCCCCACCCACCTGACACGTGTAGCGTCGTCACGCGCCGCTCCCGTGTACCCTTACAAGCCGCCACGTCAGCACCAAGCCACATCCCGCCACGTCACACGCCCTTGCGTCTGCCACGTCAGGGATCAGCCAGCCCCACGTGACACGTCACACCCACCCTCCCCATGCCACGTCACCCCCCACCCACCTGACACGTGTAGCGTCGTCACGCGCCGCTCCCGTGTAACCTACCAAGCCGCCACGTCAGCACCAAGCCACACATCCCGCCACGGCACACCCTCCTGCATCCGCCACGTCAGGGAGCAGCCAGCCCCACGTGACACGTCACACCCGCCCACCCCATGCCACGTCACCCCCCACTCACCTGACACGCGTCGCCTCGTTGAGCGCCGCTCCCTTGTGCCCTTCCAAGCCGCCACGTCAGCACCAAGCCACACATCCCGCCACGTCACACGCCCTTGCGTCCGCCACGTCAGGGATCAGCCAGCCCCACGTGCCACGTCATACCCGCCCACCCCATGCCACGTCACCAAGCCACCCACCTGACACGTGTAGCGTCGTCACGCGCCGCTCCCGTGTACCCTACCAAGCCGCCACGTCAGCACCAAGCCACACATCCCGCCACGGCACACCCTCCTGCATCCGCCACGTCAGGGAGCAGCCAGCCCCACGTGACACGTCACACCCGCCCACCCCATGCCACGTCACCCCCCACTCACCTGACACGCGTCGCCTCGTTGAGCGCCGCTCCCTTGTGCCCTTCCAAGCCGCCACGTCAGCACCAAGCCACACATCGCGCCACGTCACACGCCCTTGCGTCCGCCACGTCAGGGATCAGCCAGCCCCACGTGCCACGTCATACCCGCCCACCCCATGCCACGTCACCAAGCCACCCACCGCACACGTGTAGCGTCGTCACGCGCCGCTCCCGTGTACCCTTCCAAGCTGCCACGTCAGCACCAAGCCACACATCCCGCCACTGCACACCCTCCTGCATCCGCCACGTCAGGGAGCAGCCAGCCCCACGTGACACGTCACACCCGCCCACCCCATGCCACGTCACCCCCCACCCACCTGACACGCGTCGCCTCGTTGAGCGCCGCTCCCTTGTGCCCTTCCAAGCCGCCACGTCAGCACCAAGCCACACATCCCGCCACGTCACACGCCCTTGCGTCCGCCACGTCAGGGAGCAGCCAGCCCCACGTGACACGTCACACCCGCCCACCCCATGCCACGTCACCCCCCACTCACCTGACACGCGTCGCCTCGTTGAGCGCCGCTCCCTTGTGCCCTTCCAAGCCGCCACGTCAGCACCAAGCCACACATCCCGCCACGTCACACGCCCTTGCGTCCGCCACGTCAGGGATCAGCCAGCTCCACGTGCCACGTCATACCCGCCCACCCCATGCCACGTCACCAAGCCACCCACCGCACACGTGTAGCGTCGTCACGCGCCGCTCCCGTGTACCCTTCCAAGCCGCCACGTCAGCACCAAGCCACACATCCCGCCACTGCACACCCTCCTGCATCCGCCACGTCAGGGAGCAGCCAGCCCCACGTGACACGTCACACCCGCCCACCCCATGCCACGTCACCCCCCACCCACCTGACACGCGTCGCCTCGTTGAGCGCCGCTCCCTTGTGCCCTTCCAAGCCGCCACGTCAGCACCAAGTCACACATCCCGCCACGTCACACGCCCTTGCGTCCGCCACGTCAGGGATCAGCCAGCCCCACGTGCCACGTCACACCCGCCCACCCCATGCCACATCACACCCCACCCACCTGACACGCGGCGCCTCGTTGAGCGCCGCTCCCGTGTGCCCTTCCAAGGTGCCACGTCAGCACCAAGCCACACATCCCGCCACGTCACACCCTCTTGCGTCCGCCGTCTAAACCCACCAACCCAACCCACTTGCCACGTCGCACACAGAGATCCGAAAGAGCCACGTCAGCCCCCGCCCACATGTGGAGTCACGTGTCGCCCTGCACCGCTCCCGCGCACCCTTTCCAACCGCCAGGTCATTCCCAACCCTGCCCTGGTTGCCACGTCAACCCCAACCCGCCACATACCGGGAATGGGTTGGTCTCCTGCAGCACAAGCACACGTGCCTTGTCCACGGCACTCATCGGCGGCGGGGTACCACCCATCGGCACCACTGCGGCCCCCCCGGCATAGCTGGCAGCTGCTCCCCGACGCAGGCCGAGCTGAGCAAACATGGCGTACATCTCAGACCGTAGCTGCTGGAACTCGTCTCGTGTAACAAACTGCCCGTGCTCTGCACCTTCAGCCAGCGCATCCATGACATCCGGAAAAGGGTGTGTAGAAACCCCTCTCTGGCCAAGGGGTTCAACGTCTTCTGCAGCAGCACCGTGTGCCCTCACACTATCACGCTGGCGGGAAAAGGGAAGCTCAGGGAAGGGATTGGCAAAGGTGCTTGGTTGATGCACACGCGATGGACCGGCGAGGGGGGATACCGCCCTGCCCCGGGCTGGAGAAGCGTGTAGTGGCCGAAATGGGTATGAGGGAGAGGCGAGTGGGGAGTGCGTGACGGGGGCTGGTGGAGGGGATTCGGATTCCTCGCCTGTTGCCGCGCCGGGTGCAGTCGCAGCGACTTTGCTCGGGCCGGAGTATGGCGTGAAGAACCTTGGTCCTCCTGTGGATAGCGGTGCCACACTCGCTCTTCCGGCCCCTTTCGCTAGCTGCATCCGTTGCACGGTTACCGGTGGCCCAATGCCTGTAACACGGGGGGCTGAGAGTTACACGGAGGATGAGCACGGAGCTGGTGTCTGTAAGGTGCATTTGGACACGTGCAAACATGACGAGCAACCGCATGATTCTAACATGGGTGTAGCACGGAACTGTAGTGTATAGTCACGCCTTACCCGGTTTAGCCGATTCGTCAACCTTCTCCTTCCCTGCGGCGGGAAAAGACGGGTGGAACACGGTGTTGTTAGGGTCTGTTCAGCACAAACCGAGGCAGCTATGCCAGTCGTTTGTGACACGTTGCTTACCACGTTGCTGTCCCTTCGGTTTTGCTGCCTGCTCCTTATCGTTGCCCCGTTTCCGCGGTGTGCTTTGGCGGGTGCTGCCTCGTTTACGGGCAGGTTCTTTCTTTGCCGAACCCACAGGTACCCCTTTCGCGCGCGGTCTCTTTCCGTCTCCATCGCCTTTAGCTCCCTGTCTCACTTGCTTCCTTCCACCCCGGTCACGTTCAACCTTCACCTTACGCGCCTTCGATTTGCCCGCTGGTCCGCCACGCATTGCGTCACCCGCCCCGCGTTTCCGGGATTGTCCAGACCGGCCCCCCACCTTCCCTGTGCCACTCCCCCGTCCGCCTCGCGCGCCCCGTCCTTTCCCTGCCGGCTCCTCCTCCTCCTCCTCCTCATCCGCCCCTTCCTCCACCTCCTCTTCCTCCTCGTCGTCCTCCTCCTCCTCATCCTCCTCCTCATCATCCTCCTCCTCCTCTTCCTCCTCCTCCTCCTCCTGCTCCTCCTCCTCCTCCTCCTCCTCCTCCTCCTCCTCCTCCTCCTCCTCCTCCTCCTCATCCTCCTCCTCCTCCTCCTGCTCCTCATCCTCGTCGTCCCCCTCATCGTCCTCCTCATCGTCCTCATCCTCATCCTCCTCCTCCTCCTCCTCCTCCTCCTCCTCCTCCTCCTCCTCCTCCTCCTCCTCCTCCTCCTCCTCCTCCTCCTCCTCCTCCTCCTCATCATCGTCGCCCTCCTGCTCATCCTCGTCCTTTTCACCCTCCCCTGCATCCTCGTCCTCCTCCTCCGCATCCTCCTCGGCCTCCTCCTCCCCATCCCCCTCGTCCTCAACATCCGCTTCACCAGGGCCTTCTTTGCCGCGCTTCGGCCTATTCCCCCCCGAAGATTGCTTCCCCCTCCGTCCGCTAGATGGTTTCCTCGGACCGGATCCCACCTTATGCCGCATTGCATGATCTGTCGCCAAGCCACTTGGCGCCGTGGTGCCTCGCATTGTCCCAACTTCAGCACCACCGGCGTCGTCGCCGCTGGCTGTCGTCTGCCTCCTCTTCGCGCGTATGGGCATGTCCTCAGCCACGGGGGTGTCATTCTCCTCCTCACCATCGCTCTTCCTCTGCCTACGCCTCCCGCGTCCCCCAAAGGGAGGAGATCCACCTACGTCGGCAATGTCGTGTTTCGGCCCCTCCGTGCAATCGTGCGCAGCATCCTTCTCCTTATCTATCACTGCAGCAGATATTTCGACCACGGGCGGGTGGGGCAGCGTCAGATGCTGCTGCTTTGCCTCTGCCACGGACGTCGAAGTTGCGGCCTGATCTTGGCGGGGAGAGTCGCCGTGCTTTCCTCCAGTCGCAAAGCCCTCTCTGTCCCCCGACCGGACGGCAACACTCACGCCGCCACGCCCAGGGTCTTCGTTCCCGCCGATGGTGCCGTCGTCAGAAGGACCGGGCTCGAGGGCAGCAGTGGCAACATCCGCATCGCTCCTGACGACCGAAACACGCTTGCGTGCCGTTGGTTGCTTCCCCTTGTCCTCCGCCTTCTTCCCGGGCTTCTGCTTTCCCACCTCAGCCTTTTTCCCCGCCGCACGTTTCGTTTGATTGGTTTGCGCGGCGGCCTTTTTAGTAGCCCTAGATCTGGCCCCACCCTCTTGGTCGGTCTGATGCGACATCCTTCGTGTCGTGCGTCGTTTCGCCTCCTCCTTCTGCTTTTCTGTTTGCCGAGTAGCAGGTGTCATGAGGGTGGTACGAATGCAAGTATTAAATTGCGGGATTGGGTAGCTGAGTTAAAAAAAAAAACCGCACAGGTTTGTTGCTATTTGACCCCGTCCCGGTGAAGCCATTACTTTTTCACCCTAAATCAGAAGGTACAATTACACCTGAATTAGTAGCTACTAAGCACATGGCGTCAGCCCTTTCCTTCGTCGCTACTCCGTCTAACTGGCGATTTGGAAACACCTGTGTTCAGCAGCGAGCGGCGTCAAGGTAGTGGGTATGAGGGTGACGGAAGCTGGTGAGTGGGGCACGACGGTAGTTGGGGTGGTTTGCGAGTCTATGGAGAGGACTGTAAGCAGAACACGCACCATCGGACGGTCTACGATTTGCCACCCGATCAGAAACGCACTACACGCTTGATCACAGTCGCTGCTTCCGCGGCGAATGTCCAGCTTGGCTGGTGCGGTAGTGGGGAGGGTCGTTTGAGATGCGTCGGCCAATCAGCGCCAACGCATCAATCTCCACGGAATCTAGTACCGTTTCGACACCACCAATCATCACATCCTGCAAAATACAGTGCCTAGTGCATTGATCAAATTTTAACATAGTAGCTGAATACACTTGCAAAGTACAACTAAGACAATTTAAAGTGAATAGCCGTTTATGGTGTCATATGGTGTGAAGTTTAGTGAGTGCATGGGGCTTAGGACGCACTCTTTGTGCTTCCAACTCGTGGACTATGGAATGCTATACTGAGCACACATTGAGAATGGGTGACGGATACTGGTCGTTGGAAGTTGTTCAAGCACGACGTGTACTAGTGCCAACTGGAATGGAGATGTAGTGTGGTGTTGGCTTGGGCTCCATTCTTGCGTGGGCCCTCGACATGGTGAATTGAGGGTGTGGGATGAAGCACAGGCCCAACGCACGAGCGTTGATGCGCAATCGACATCGCTGTTTAGTTTGGCGACGTTGCTGCGTTCGCATCCATACAAGGCTTGCGCGACCAGGCGAATCCGTTGTGGAATGGTGTTGGATGGGGCTCCATTCTTGCATGGGCCCTCCGCCAGGTGCATTGAGGGTGTGGGATGAAGCACAGGCCCAACGCACGAGCGTTGATGCGCAATCGACATCGCTGTTTAGTTTGGCGACGTTGCTGCGATCGCATCCATACAATGCTTGCGCGACCAGGCGAATCCGTTGTGGAATGGTGTTGGATGGGGCTCCATTCTTGCATGGGCCCTCCGCCAGGTGCATTGAGAGTGTGGGATGAAGCACAGGCCCAACGCACGAGCGTTGATGCGCAATCGACATCGCTGTTTAGTTTGGCGACGTTGTTGCGTTCGCATCCATACAATGCTTGCGCGACCAGGCGAATCCGTTGTGGAATGGTGTTGGATGGGGCTCCATTCTTGCATGGGCCCTCCGCCAGGTGCATTGAGAGTGTGGGATGAAGCACAGGCCCAACGCACGAGCGTTGATGCGCAATCGACATCGCTGTTTAGTTTGGCGACGGTGCTGCGTTCGCATCCATACAAGGCTTGCGCGACCAGGCGAATCCGTTGTGGTACGGTGTTGGATTGTCATCTAACCTTGCACGGACATTCAAGTAGGTGCCTCAAAGGGGTATGAAGTAGAGCCACAACGCACAATCGGCGATGCGTTATCGTGAGGGCACGAAGTTCTTGTGTACTTCCCGTATGTTGCCAAACCACACTAGAGATCTTGTATGTTTTTTAGACTGTCACGTTGTCAACTAGGGGTGGATCTCGAGCAGGCATTTTCATGTGACCGTGTAGTAGTTATCATCAACGAGTTTAGTGTATAGATTAAATGCAATTGTACAATGTAATATCCTGCGCTGTATTTTGTCCGTTGTCGAGCTCAACACTGTGAGCTCACTAACGTGAGCGCGATCTTCCCCGTATAACAATTCACAACTGAACTACAGATCCAAACGGATCTCTTCCCGCTCTTCCTCATCCCACTCGACTCTCACGCACCAAGAGTGCGTGAATCCACAGGCACGTCCTTCTCACCGAGCTCGCAACGCACACACAAGACCTACCGTCTTAGAATCAAGCGCATTCTCCGCTGCTCACGTCGTGGTCTGTCAAAACGGGGGCGACACGCCTTGTAGGGAAGACGACCCGCCTTGAACAGTGCGCGGTTTGGCGATGACCGTGTTGCATTACCAGCCTTCTTGCACGGAGTACTTAATGCCTTCTCAAGCTTCCCACGACGCTCGTTGCTTCACAGGCCATTCCTCAACACTTAGACAGATCCGTACCGCATGGGCTCCTTACCTGGCGTCGTCTGCGAGTTTTGCAATAGATGGTTCCCCAACGCCCAAGTTTATGGCGGTCACAAGTCACGGCGGACCCCTTGCCAAGGCCTTTCCGCCGTGGCAAGGCCCTCGCAATCTGCACCATCCGCCGTGGCAAGGCCCTCGCAATCTGCACCATCCGCTGCACCTCCCGCTTCACCTACCGCGTCTAATGCGTCCAACACCGACGCTGTGAATGGTCCTCCTCGCGTGCATGAAGCTGAAGATGACGCAACACCCTCGGCTGGGAACGTGGGGGCTTCTGAATCTGAGCATCAACCGCCACCCGGAACACCTGCAGATGACACGAGTGCGGATCCGGGGTGCCGCCCTGGAGTGAGTCACGCGGCCCCGCCGACAATCATCTCCGGGGAGAGCAATGCGACGCCCCTCAATCCGATTGCGGTGAAGCTGCTGCACTTCGTGAGGCGTGTAAATGGCGGAATGGGCATGGCGGAGATCGACATCAATGGCCTGCTTCAGCTCGTGGTGGAGCCCGGCCTTGCGCCTCTTGTGATCTCAGAGATCCGGAACTGCAAGGATCTGGAGAGGTTCGAGATGGAGCGCTTGGTAGGGCTCAATCGCGGATGGTCAGTGGCGACCTTCGAGATTGAGGGTCATCCTCCACAACGCCTCCTCTTCCAGAACTCTGCGCAGGTAAGCCGGCCGTGGATGCGTGGCTGTGAAATGCAGATTCCGCCTCCATTTGGTCCATGTGTGCGATCCGACCCTTCCCCGCTCCCGCCACTAAACCCCTGTTTGGTTCTCCCCCGCTCTTGATGCCGTACTCCAGGCTTTTGCTGAACTGTTTGGGCACACCAACAACGCGCCCGGCTTCAAGCTCAAGGCTCGTGTCGATGAGGACCATGGCACAGGCGAGCGTCGCTATACCACGCCAGAAACTGGAACGTGGTGGAACGATGCTCAGGTATGTAAATACCCCGCTGCCACCCAAAACCACACGCGTGCGCCGTCCTCCGTTGACGCGCTGATGTGTAGGGAGCATCTTCAGTGCGTCATGTTAGTGGGGAGTGTTATGTACCATGCTTAATCCGCCAGGCGACACATTACCTTGGTGGTGTTTGACCGTGGGGGTTTTCCGTCTTTGTCGTGCATGCAGGAACACTTCGGATGGTCCGAAGTCGTGGGGGGTATCATCCTATATTCGGATGTGACGCACATGAGCAACAACGGCCGGAAGAAGGCGTGGCCGCTCATGATGACGCTTGCCAACATCTCCCAGGCCAAGCGATGGGGGAAAGCCGGGCACACGCTACTTGCTCTCCTTCCTATCCCCCCTTCGGCAATGTCTGCTGTTGAGAAGGTGATGCTCTTCCAGCGATGCGTCCTCACCGTGCTGCAGCCACTTCTGGATGGCATGGACAGGTCCGTACTCGATTTCCGTCATGCTATGTCGTCACCGTGTGCACAGCATAGTGTGCGCAGCGCTTTTGTATGTTGCATTACCCTTTGCCCCTCCTCGCTGATGCACAGAGTCGTCATGGCTGTTGACGTTACCACTCTACCCGTTCCTTGCAGCGGCTTCCGTCTCAGGGACCCTTTCGGTGATTGGCAAACAGTGCGGCCACTGCTGTACGCCTGGGTGTGCGACTACCCCGAGAGCGGCAAGATTAGTTGCACACTCTCGCATGGATCGCGGATGCCGTGCAGCATCTGCTATGCTGCAAAGGTGAGCAAACATGCCATGTGAACGCCTTCAGCGCCATCGTCATCTGACTGTCACATGACGGACCTCCTAATTTTTTCACCCTTACCAGTTCATCCCATCCCACCCCCCGTGCTACACCAGGAGCATTTAGTTGCTGTCAAGGCACGGAACACGCCGCGCACGACTGAACAGCAGCAATGGATCGTGAATGAGGCGGCTGGGTTGACATCAAGCCAGGCCGACCCATGCAAGACCTACTCGACCTACCCGGTTGAGGTGAGCGGCCTGTCCACCACGCTACTTTCCTGTCTAAGCACTCCGTGTTGAGAAGCCCTGGGGGATATGTGCACTGCCATTGCACTGCCCCACATGTTGGCCGAGTCTCTCATATACCTTTCTCTACCATTCCCCACCACACCCCCTCCGCCAGTGTGTGCTCTGGAAATGGGATGTCCCAGGGACCGTGTGGGGCAATCCCTACCTCGTTATCATGCCTGACATCATGCACCAGGCGGACCTGGGCATGATGAGCCACATTGTGGCTGTCGTGCGCAAGATGAAGAAGCGGCGCGTCAAGCAGATGGACAGGTCAGTGCCTTGGGGGATTACTTTCGTGTCAAGAACACTCCAATACGCACTCTCCTCCTACTTACATGCCCATGCATTTGTGCCGGCCTTGAACTCGGATGTATGCGCAGGCGCCTGTCCCTCATTCGCGACCGCACGCGCCTGAACCACCTGCGCCTGCCAGAGAGCGCCTACTTCGAGAGTGGAGCATGTGTCGCGGCCTATGAGCACAGGGCCGTCATGCAGGTGAGCAAGCCATGGTGCATGTGATCCTCGTGAGCGACAGCATGCACCATGCTGAAACAGGATGCTGATTCCAGGCTACAACACCCCCCCTACTGCATCCTAGTACCCATTCTCCCGCTCTCATCAATTCCGCCCCCTAACCTGTTTGT